ACTTGTCTACAACTCTAGATAGTTACATTCCAATCTGATTACAAAACGCTTTTTTTTTTAAGGGGGGAAAATCATCGAATGACTGCTCCCGCCTGGGTGAGGCGGAAGGGAGTGTCAGACTCTTACTGACTAAAAACCACCCCGTTCCTTCTCCTGCACGTCGAGCCGGAGCCCCGGTTACCCGTTAGGTTCTCCGCGACATTACGAAACGCTGCGCTGTTTCTAAATATTATATGAATTTCATTATTGAAAAAGGTGATCTATTTTTTTAATGTGAAAAAGGAGAAAGTGCTTCTTTATTCCTAGTAATTTTCGGTACATAATGACTAATAGTATAAAACAAAGTCGCTATCCGCCGTCTATCTGTCCCTATGTCTTATATCTATCTTTAAAAATACGTAACGGATTTTGATGTGATTTTTTTTAATAGATAGAGTGATTCTTAAAGAAAGTTTATATGTATAATACATGCATATTGCACCCGTGCGAAGCCGGGGCAGATCGCTAGTTTTGCATAATGTAGAATTTGAATAACTATAAAATATGGTATTGCATACACTTAATACCAAGTATAGAGTATAGGATACCTACATATAGGTATATATATACAGAATACATCGTCATAATATATATAAACAGAATACAACGTGCTCTTCAATTACATTTTACACGATCTCAAGATTACAAAATATTTCATAATATAAATTAAAAATTGTTAAAAACCATCTTTATAGTTACCTCAACAGATTCATAGCATCTATAGACTGACATTTTTTAAACTACACTACACAACACAACACCAATTGATTTACAAATTCACACACTGTATAAAATATATGAATTATACGTATAATATCACACACATGTTGATATTTCGAATGTATATTCGCGACTGATAATAATTTCAAATACAGACAGATTTTAACGACTAATATAGGCTTATCTAGCTAAAAACATTCTTGTAAAAATATGCCAAGTCCTTCTTTATCTGATATTTGCTTTTTGAGTAATTGACCCTTCTGAGTATGTAGATATGACGTATGATATTTTTGATGTATAGATTTTGGAGGCGTTGTCTTTTGTGGGGAAATATAAGTGCATCCGTATTGAATAAGAATTCCCGAAATAAGATAAAGATTAGTTAAAAAGTTAATGATTTTTTAAGTCTAAGGAAATATTACATAACATAACATAACATTTATCTTTGCCACGCCTTTTATCCCCGAAGGAGTAGGCAGAGGTGTAGGTACATTATGACACTGTACAATGTAACACCCACTTTTGAATATTTATGTTATGAGTCCCATGTGAGCCTATTGCCATATACCGGGCACATTTCCAGACTCCGTGCTACAACTGATATTTTTTTTAAACCCTTAATTATTTGCCCGACCCGGGAATCGAACCCGAGACCCCATGTTCGGCAGTCGCACTTTCGACCACTCGGTCAACGAGGCAGTCATATTATACATCATAATTTTATCTTAATCTACATTTGAAGAAGTGTTAATGTAACGGAGAAGAACCAAGCAGTATGTTTATATTTACACATAAGAATGTTGTATACCTATTTCATAATGAATTTAGATACTTATGAAATCCTATAATTACAGATTTGAAATAGGGAACAGTCTAAAAAAATAAACATTAACGCAATGGGATCATACTAATGACACACCTAAAATACTTCTCATTGACATAAGTACTAATATTAATCCATGACCCTGGACTATGACGATGATGAAGGAATTCCCAAAGGACACGCGAAGGTTTGTACTTAACCGACCTTCTTACTTTGAATAAGGTTTATACTTCGAACTGTGACGTCATTTCCTTAGATTTTTTTTATAAACTGGGTCATTATGACAAGGTACTACTAGGCCAATCCCTTCTACCACAGACGACTAAGCTTAAGCTGGAAATGAAAACATCATAACGTCAATGTCCAATTCCTACGTCAGAATTATTGTAATGGGAATACGAGTCATATTCGTAATCAGAAAGGGATATTACTATCCCTTTTATTTAAGTTGTTGAATCAAATAGTAGTCTATGCCATCATGTTATAAAAACCATTCGATTTGAAAATTTGAATCGGTACATAAAAATAACTCTTTAGGAATATGAGATAATGTATTAAATTATACGTGTATACAAAAGTGGGTTGTGGAATAACATTTTTTCATCTGACAACATAATGATTTGTTGGATATAGGGGAGTTTGTAGTTATTTCAGAGTTTAAATAGGGTTGGCAATTTCAAGTAGGTACATAATATATGGAATTTCATCTGCTTTTACAAAATTATAAATAATATATGCGATCGTTTATTTGTAGGTAATATGCAAATACTTCGTCAAAACTAGGCTTGTGATTCAATCTTTCACAAACTGATAAGATTATTACGATAATGTACCTACTTAGATATGAAGACTCCACTGTTAAATGAGTTTATGATCAAATCTATCACCACCAGACCAGATGGCTTCATTTTTTATGTAATATTTCGTTTGGTGATTAAAAGATGAAGAATTTTTTTTTGAATTGAGAGAAAACGCGACTTATTATTATATAGAAGATTATATTGATAACTATTTCAATTAAGTAACTAAAGTAAACTAAAATACGTACTCAATTAATTTTACAGTCATAAAAATGATTCAATATAAAAGTCACCAAAGAAATAAAAATTTAAAGTATAACGGATAGTCACGGTGACTGTATCCATTTTAGTGTTTACCTAAGAACTAAGTCTGACTCATTCTGTACTTGAAAGATAAAAGATAAAACCTAATATGTAATGACATTACATCAGTATTAGTTATCTTGTTAGATTTTTAATGTCTTTTAGGCAATTGTACGAAGAGTAACCGTTGATATGCGAAAGAGACGTATCTAGCGAGAATGCATGTGAAAGTTTGCAGGGAGTGCCCTTTTTTTAACTCCAAGGTGGGAAATCCTCATGGAGCCCCCTCGCCTGGAGAGGACGAAAGGGACTGTCAGTGCAGGGAGTGCCCTGGACTAAATAGGTTACTTAAGGAAGATTTTTCAATCAACAGATAATTCTTAACTGTAGAACAAAATTGGCATTTGACAGTGTTTAGAATGGAAGAATTATCAAATATTCAAAGTTATTCCTCTGATAAAATTTAACTGGCATTAAAAAATGGGCGTTAAAAAATTTAAAGCGCCCTCAATCGACGAGCTTGCATGAGGACTGATGACTAGCCTACTGGTAGGTAGGTACCTAGATGAAGAGAAATAAGTTTGCTAGAACCCATTCCATAGAAACTTGAAAAAGATAGATGGATCAATCAATTTTCAACCTTTGGTAGAATGACATATGGCTGAGTTATTGGCAATAGGTCTATAGATAGAGAGCGTCGAAAACCTCATGTTATATAATGTAAACAAAGCTTTAGACCATCTAATTCGCAGTAGCTTTGCACAGCGGCCCCCTATCATTCGATATATTTATGGCTTGCTACTATATAGGAAATAATACTCTACAAAACAAGAGGGTGAATAATAATGTTATTAACGTAATGCAATAAAGAAAATACAAACAAACAAACATACATACGTCAGTTTACAACCATTTTATAAGGGATTCCCGTATGCCATTGATGTAAACTATCCCTATATACGCTCACGTGGATATAGGACGTAATAATATTGTATTTGTTACGTATAGTTTAGTATTAAACTGTATATAACTAAGGAAATGGGACCTGGTTTAAACGTTGACTGCTTACGCGGTTTATGTTGACTGACGCTAAAGATGATGAAGGGTTTACCTTCAATATTAATTGGGCAGAATTAGACTTAACAATTTTCTGTCGGTAGCTAATATTTAGTAAATTAGTAATACTATAAGATTTGATAAATCTATCAGTTTCTAACAAGTAATAAACTTACGCCCGAATACTGAAAAGGCTAATCAAGTTAAAGTTGTAATTAAATATCGTGCCGTCTCTGTCATTTTGTCGCGGAGAACCTAACGGGTTACTGGGGCTCCGGCTCCAAGTGCAGGAGAAGGAACGGGGTGGTTTTTAGTCAGTAAGAGTCTGACACTCCCTCCCGCCTCACCCAGGCCCGCCCGCCAGTGGGGGAAATCATCGGTTGACTTCTCGGGAGAAAAACTTCTTACTTTTCATTAAAAAAAAACTCTGTCATTTTACAAAGAATCTGTACGCACTACTTAAATTTGGTTCTGACTTATAATTGATTGACGTTTAAGTATACCTATAATTGAGGGAACCAACGAGTGTTAATGTTTGTCTAAGGATCTTATATAGCTAATAACATACTAACATTCGGATTCTCCGTGTGAGAAGAGGCTTTGCTCAGCAGTGGGCATTATAGGCTGTTGATGTGATACGGATTTTAATTTTAAAGAGAATCAGTACCACGAAAGAATTTATATAGTTTGAGATCCTGTCTAACTATGATAAAGCATTTATTTCATTTAACCTTTTATCAGGCACTTTTGAAATGTCAAATTGAATTGTTAGTGAAGCTAGGTACACACAATAAACCCATTATATAAATTTTTTCTTTCATTCTTGTCGCTTATGATCACAAATATACGAAGCTGATATAAATAAGCTAATAGAAAGATACTTGAAGATGTACTAAGTCTTTGATATGATTGTTTTTTTAGTTATAAAGTCACGTGTAGTGATACCACTGACAGAATAATCTTATTTATTTATTTATGATTTACCAACATTTGTTTACACCAATACAATTGTCGAGATACAAATGTGAGTTCTTTACAGTAAGTGTAACAAATACTTATAGGTAAATACAGCATTTACAAAATTATTATCCTACATCTAAAACAAACTAGATATGAATTTTTAACAGGAAAAAAAAAATTTGGTGCTACTGTGTACCAACTAAAGCTTCCAACTAAATCTTCTTGCGTCTTTGGGAAATTACAGTCAATATTATTTGTTGTATATTATAGTATAATATTAATATAATATAACTACTAACCTCTTTCCTCATGTGGACTGAAGCTATCCTTTTAATTTCTAGAACACTCGACCGAATCGATGCAGACAACATTTTTGTTTTTGTTTATTTTTATTCAATAGTTCTTTATATTAAATATTACATGTAATGTTCTAAGCTTAAATTTTTCAAACAGTTTATTAACACTACTATTATTTATATTTAACACATCATTTATAATAAAATCAGTTCAACAACAAATTCACTTTTGGCAACAAGACTTGGCGAAATTTTTGTCAAATATGTTTACGAAATTGTCAATTGTAGGTTATAATTTAATTTCACAAACGACCAGCGTTGATGAACGGTTAGGTTTTAACTGAATTGTCGTACGTGACTATAGTTTATACAATGTTATGATGAGTAACTTAAGGAAAATCCTCTACACGTCACAATACTCCGGTTAGTGTAACATTTAATAATTAAACATTACTTTTTTATTAGAACACTAGAGTCATAATACTGAGTTGTGTTTTACTGACCTACATGTACAGAAAACTTTGAAGAAATTCGTCAAGTGGCTGGTAGTGACGACTTTCAGTTCTGGCTTAGGTAAAAAACCGCAAGCAATGACAATCAATAAATTAATTAAATAAAAAAAATTAAAACACCGCGAGCTGTGTGAGTCAGACTTGGCAGGTGTTTTGATTTTTATGTTTTACTAGCTACTTGCACGCGGTTTCACCCGTGCTCGGCTCCTATTAGTCGTGGCGAGGTGTTTTATAGCATATAGCCTTCTTTGATAAATGGACTATCAAACACAAAAAGAATTTTTCAATTCGAACCAGTGGTTTCGGAGATTAGCGCGTTTAAACAAAAAAACAAACTCTTCAGCTTTATAATATTAGTCTATATGAACATTAAAAAACATTGCTTGAAACTAACTTTTTCTGTTTGATAACTATTTTAATTAGCATATTTTTTAAAACACCAAGTATTAGATAAAAAATACCAAGTATAATAAGATGAGATAAACTATTAGATGTGATTCAAAATATACTTAAATAAAACTGGTGATAATTAGCTGGTACTAAGACCTACATATTTTTTTTAATGGAATAGGAGGCAAACGAGCAAATGGATCGCCTGATGGTAAGCGATCAGCGCCGCCCATGGACACCCGTAACACCAGAGGAGTCACAGGTGCGTTGACGGCCTTTTAAAAAGGAATACGCTCTTTTTTTGAAGGTTTCAAACCTTCAAAAAAAGAGCGTATCGGTCGTATCGGTTCGGAAATACCGCCGAAGACAGATCATTCCACAGTTTTGCTGTGCGTGGCAGAAAGCTACGTGAGAAGCGCATAGTTGTGGCTTGCCAACCATCTATATGATGGGGATGTATCTATATGCTGTCGTGAAGGTTGATGGCGAAAAGATGCGGCAGGTATTAGGTCAAACAATAGGTGCCTCTTTGAACACTGTTCACTCCCTCAGGGAATTAAAAGGCGTGATTATATAAATAAGTAATTATTGTTATATTGTTAGTAGCCCTAAGTAGGTACCTAAACAACAACAATACTTAGCTCAGATGATTCAACTTAGAGGTTGAACTTAAACCTAATGATAATGGTTTATTAGTGGTTAACAGAGCTTATCTCTGTGACGAGTCATGATTTAATTAACAATTTATTTATTTGTTTATTATATAAATCACGGCAACGATTTTTCCCTAGAGAATACAACACAATTAGCTTTGATTTTTATGTAAAGAGGTTTAATAATCTTTGAAGAAAACCTGGAAATTAACGAATTTAAAGCAACCCGTATTTATTTAATAGATTGCAGAATTAGTTCGTACTGTTTTTTTCTAGAATAAACCGTTAGACGAGCAGACGGATCACCTATTGGTAATCAATCAATCAATCAGCGCCGCCCGTGGACACTTGAAACACCAAAGGTGTTACCAGTGCATTACCGGCCTTTTGGGGATTAGGAATTTGGGAATTGTTGGAGATTCAGGATTGGAGAGACGGCGAAACAAACTCAGAGGTCCGTCTGTTTTAAAGGTTCGGAAAGGGTGCGATACTTCAAGCATCAAATATTCCTACAAATCAGATATTCAGCACAGGCATCAGGAAACGTACACAGAAGACTGGCAGCATTGAATCCTACGCTACGATTAAAGTAAGTAGCGCAATAAGTTCAATTACGTCAAACTAATTATAATTATATCTTTAAATAATTAAAACATTAAACGTGGCAAAGACCCTAGGAGGCCTTACGCAGTGTCACAAATAACAACAAGAGTTATAAAGCACACTTAGTTATCTACAATCATTACTGCAGACACTAGACCTCGACAAATAGATACTATATTTTACTCTCTTTAGGCCTTATTCATACTAAAGGTGGTTTTAAATATTCTCATACTTAAAGCACCATTACAAAATAGGAATAATAGTGTCACCAGTATTCTCTTCTTAAAAATGAAGACAATCCACTAAAAATAAAATTAAATAGGCATTTTTTTCTACAGTATAATGGGGTTGCAATCCTTACTAATATTGTAAATCGGAAAGTGAGTTTGTTTGTTTATTTGTTTGTTCCGCTTTCACGCCGTAACTACTAAACCGATTGCTTTGAATTTTTGCAGAAGTAAAGTTAGAAGTCCGGATTGAATAATAGGTGCTTTTTATCTCGAAAAAATTGATATTCCCGAGGGAAAACAAAAGTATTGGTATATATGGCGCTGTGTGTAAGTATTGGTGACGCGAGCGAAGCCGCTGGTAAAAGCTAGTAATAAATATATTAGCACCTCTTTGCTCAGCATATGTAACAAATATATGGATTATAGCAATTTGCAGTTTTATAGCTATAATTACAATGCATCAAGGCTTATTCAACTAAGATTTTAAACCCCGTGGCCCGTAGGATCACTTAAACATCGATATCTGAAACACTTATTGCATAACTGCACTTTGTGTTTAAAATACCTAACCAAAACCCATCTCACTTACAAGAAGTAATCCATATAACCACTACACCAACGACCCCAATCAATTATTTTTCATAAGATAACAAATCTGCCTTTTCACTTCATTTTGTCCGTATGTACAGAACCTTAGAATCAATAAATAAAGTGTGTGGTGATAAATAAAGGCTGCCTTCACCACACCCGGTCACAGGTCGTACGGTTATCACTTATATCTACGAGTGAATGTTCAATACTAAAGGTAACCAAGAATTTTTTTAACATAACTTTTCTTCGTTTGAATGTTTGTCACATCCAAATTAAGTTTGTTTAAATATACCTCTAGTGAAAGTACTCAACAAAGGTGAAATGATATACAGGCAGGGTATAGGCTGACTTAGGTGACAGGATACTTTTTATCCCGATTTAAAATATGTTACATCGACGATGTCGCGGGCAACAGCTAGTCTGGAATAAAAACCAAACTGTATCGTCATAGGCGAGATTGCATGTATACCTAATATTATTATAAATGCAATTTATATACATTATTTAAATGCTTATTATATTAAAATATATAACTACATAAATACTTACTAAATAAATACCTTTGTGATGGTGTGCAAATAAACAATTTTTCTTTCTGTCTTTCTTTCAAATACTTACAACTTAAAATTAACTACAACTAAACTATTCAATATAACGAAAGTAAAAAAAGAAAACAACAAGATTTTTTAAACTATATTAGGCATTAAAGTATTCGTCCGCATCACTATCACAGGGGAACGTTCCCAGATGACTGGCAGCATTGCCACGTTGAATGGCAATGCTTATTTTCTGTTCGAAGAAATAGCCAGCCCTCTGGTCATGTGTAGAACTCTACACATGACCAGAGGGCTGGCATAAATAAATTGAATTGAAATAAATCGTACCATTTTAAAACCTGAAAATAAATTTGAAAAATTCAGTTTGGAAAATAATTTTTCTTTAAACCAGTAGCTTTTGTTATAAATTAAATATAATACTTATATTATTACCAGTACCCTAGTGTATTACAAAACACAATAATTAGGTAATTCAAGTAATATTGGTAGGTAGTTACTTATATATTACCACAACGTTGTACTTTCCCTATCTCTTCGGGGAAAAACAAGTTGTTACAGTAAATACATTGTATTTTACAGTAAATAAAATTAAATTTAATGCACAATTCATTAGATGTAACAGTATATATGAATCAACAAATTAAAAATAAATAATATGATTGAAAATCCAAACTTATAATATTCAGTAGTATTATTACAAAAATTTGTAGAATTGCAAAAATAATTTGAAATATAATTTGTCATTCCCAATTAATTTTCTCGCTTAACTTTTGCATGAACCCATCCAAGCGCCGGCGCATAATTTAAGATGCGTCGGATAATCGAACCCGGTGCAAGTGATAGGTTTACCGGCAGTTTGCGCGATAAATAACTTAACTGTTCAAGCTGTTTACTTAAATAACTTAATATCAAATAAACGTTTTAACTGTTATTGCTTTCTACTAAGTGTAATGAGAGTTATCTATCTATACAGATAAATAAAAATGGAGTGTCTGTTTGTAAAATACATATTATGTATATTCACATATGCATTAAGTGCCGTAATGTGCACCTCTGCCTACCCCTTCGGGGATAAAAAGGCGTGATGTTATGTTATAAATATACATACGATACACAAACTAAAATATTTTTATTTACAATTTTTGTCTTTCTGTCTGTCTGTTTGTCCTGGCTAATCTCTGGAATGGCTGGACTGATTTTGTAAGACTTGCAGGTCATGACGGACTTGACTGCCAAAAAGATTGGTAGGTAACTATGTACTAAGGTGTAAAATTAAAGTAGGTATGTTACCTACTTTAATTTTGGAAAATTGAAACAAAAAAATAATTATCTAAAATTCATATTCTACGCAGACGATGTCATGGCCTGGGTAACAGCTAGTTTGTATTATAAAGTTTATTTTAAGACAATATATTACATAATTTGTTTAATGACGATGTAAACTAAGTTAGGTGATACATTAATTAGTTACATTAGTATGTACGCAGCCATATTAGGAATTCTATTAAATAAGTACAAGCCTTGTGCCCATTTTAATCA